TCTCTCTCTCTCTCTCTCTCTCTCTCTCTCTCTCTCTCTCTCTCTCTAAAATAAATATCATATCTACATTATGTCTGAGGGATAAAATCTGTTATTGGACTATTATTAAAATTTGAATGAAAATGTATCGTTATTTTATGTTTTTACTGTATATACATCATTTCTGTGTAAAAAATATATAACAATACAAACATTTAATACGTTTGATTTAGTTTTAATTTAATAAATATTAGCAATTAAAATTTATTTCTGAGAAAATCTGTTCACAAATTTAATCATACGATAATTGTTCAAAGATCTGAATATATCCAATAATATTATGTAATAAAATCAATTAGAAAACACAGATTTAACTGGTTTATTCTTCGTAAAATTTGTATTCGGATAACATTCGGAGAAATAATTACTGGTCAACGAATGAGGAGGCACTCTTCTGGAAATGCAACAAAAGCGGCACAATAAATACAGCAGTAACGTAATTCAACTTTCTCGTGTGCACAATACGCATTTAATTTGAGTTTTTGGCAACTTCGCAGTAGATAATGCGCGTCGTTAATTGGACTGATTAAAATTAAGCGGCGAAAGCGCTCGTTATACGCTCGTTTCGCGATTTTCCGTATTTCTCTGGAAAATTATCAGAATTGCTGAATGTAATCCTATAGCAATTATTATTTGCAACACGTGCCTTTCTTCTATTTGGATAGTAAAGCATGATAATAAGATGTGCTCTGATGTTTCAGAAATAATGAATAATTAAATAAAGGTAACAGGTTATTTAACTGTGAATTAATTATGTAATTTCAATTACGAATAAAGTGTATAAATTTATAATACAAGTAATTATGAAAAGGCAAACAAAAGTATAATTAATTATACTGTGAACATTTCTCTTGTACTTAATTATAATAATTATATATGGGACATTTTAGAAAACCTCTTCAAAAAAATTTCAAAAGTTCTAAAAAATCCTATGTTGTATATAAAAATGTTTAAGCAACAGTCTACAGTGGACTGACTTATGCTTCTAATTTTTTCAATGTTTTTTTTCAATGGTTTTTTTTTCGAAAAAAGCTTGAAAAAATAGAAGCAAACGCCAGCCCACTCTGGGTCAAGGCTTAAAAATTTTGATATCTAATATAGGATTTTTGAAAATTTTTTTAGATTTTTAAATTGTGGCAACGATATGTCGGTTTAAAAAATGATAAATAAATCAAATTTATACAAAAAATAAAAAAAAATACCGAGTGCTTTTTAAAGTTGGAACAATAACATAAAAAAATCGCGGAGGTCGAGGGTCAAACGCAGGTCGATTTGGCATGGAATGCCCCATATATACATATATGCACATATGTATGTATGAATTTAAAATGTTTTATCTAAACGTAGCTGTAAATTCATTCTTACGGATATATTTCTATTGCTCAATGAAGATATTAAGATGTTAAACGCGCTGTGCATACAAAATAGCGGGTTTGCAGAGATTTACCTTACGAAGCGGTTTACTTGATCAGAAAACTGAATTTTCGAGGTTCGCCGTCGAGTACGGTGCAAGATTTCAATTTCCGCCTGCATCGACGTTATTATCCGATCTATATATAAACATGTATATGTACTATATATCACTCACTTCCCGTTGTTTCTCACGACGATATAGCGTTGGAGATATTTCAGAAGGAAAGACGATATCTATACCGCAGTTAATAATTTAACCCAAATAAATCGAAATGTAGATTAATTCAATAGTTTCTTCTTTTAAATAAAACGAAGCAGACACAAGAATGAAAGCGTAAGGAATATATGCAAAAAAGAAGTCAGAACGAAATGGCCACGATTGCTATTGCAATTGTCTTTTTAGCAATTTATGCTAGTAACGATAGTATAGGTACAATTATATTATTAATAAATTAACATATTTTGTATGATTAATTTCTTTGTTATATTGCACAAATTTTCGAGTATTTGAAGTTAGGTCTTGCACCTGGTAAAATATCTTGCCGGAAAATCTGGTATATTTGTGGACGCGGCCAGGTGTCTACGTGGTCAGACCATCTCTGAATCTCCTCGCCGCGCGTTTGCTCGTCGTTTCCTTCGCGCCGCCAATCTCAAGCTTGGTTATAAGTTACACGACTTCCCACTTAAATTCTTTTCCCACGGAAACTACCAGCGACGACACCGTAAAAGCTACTTTCGGCGAGAGTTACGCCGTAGATGCGACTGTTATCTGAGGTTTCTCGGCAAAACTCGAGACGCGATGCAGTTTCTCGAGGAGAGAATGACCGATATCGGGAATACTTCTATCGATTCAGTAGAGATGTGTTAAAGTTGGCTAATATCGAGGATGGTCAACGAAATATTACATTTTTTATCCAGCAAATTATCATTATCAACAATGATATATATCGCCATTACAATTTATTAAAGGAAATCGTGATTAACTGATTTTATACATTCATGAGTTTATTTCAATGTGAATTTGTAATAGAGAATTATCAGAATTATCTTTACCTTTCCTAATTTTACAATGTTTACGAGTAAATAATTTCCATTTTAAGTGTTTTCATTTATAAAATATCACTGTGTTTTATTGTATATATAAATTATATAAGAGAGAAAGAGAAAGAGAGAAAGAGAGAGAGAGAGAGAGAGAGAGAGAGAGAGAGAGAGCTGACATAATAATAAATACATACATGTTGATCTATATGAAATATAACGGTAATATACTGAGATCTATTCTACAAACTTCTACGAGGCGAGCAATAATTAAAAATGTAATTTCAAAGCATATTGTGCGCTACAGGATATTGCACCTGGTACTTAGAATTCAGAGTCAACTTTATATAAGCAAGAAAGCAGTCGCCTCGAGATGCATAAATCAAGAAGCGCCTCTGATTAAGGAACCTTGCTCTAGGATTTAGGTTCTGACTTTCTTAAGCTTAATGTAGGCGCGTAGAATGCAATATCGGAACATCACGGGCAACTTTTGACCGTTTTTTTTGCGTCAAGTTATATGGTTGCAGTTATTGCGATTACAAAGGTGGTTTATTACGGAGAATTAACCCACATTTCTAATTTGGGAAGGAAAACAGATATCGAGCTTGGGAAATATGGGAAAATAAAGGGAAATATGAGAAATAGCGAAAAAAAAACTAGAAAGCGCAGCATCTTCCTTCGAGAAACTTCTGAGAATGCGGGGTACGCCTTTACGGAGCGAGCATTATGGTTTTGAAAGCACGATGTTTGCATATAACGAGCAATTAAGAAGCCACAGGAAAGTCAAGAAACTTTTGCCGCTAGTTTACGTATGCACGCAAACGCGAGAAAACTTTTTTTCACTCGTAAACGTGGTTATATTATAGGTGTTTAATTAAACTTTAAACTTTTTTTAAATATAATGTACAGAGTCTTTCAATTACGAATCCCTCGATTAATTTGGAGTCATCTTCTTTTTGATAAAAAACAGATTGTGCGCATTTTTCCAATATTTTGTTAACATTTAGTTTTAAATTTATTTGTAACTAATTACTCAAATTGTAAGAATTGTCTATTTGATTGTCTAAAATTTTGTTATCTATTTGGTTCCTTAAAGCTTAGTTCACAAAAGAAATTAAATTTTCGATAGCGTTTATAATTTGAAAATTATCAATTATTTCAATATAAAAATATTTTTCCCTCTTAGTCTGTAATATTCGTAGTTTGCAATTAACGATGGTATTTTCCAAGAGCTGTCTGTGTAAAGCATCAAGCACGTCTGATAATTCTGGATATCTTTCTTTGTTTTAGAAATGGCATTCGGGTTTAGCGAAGGCAGCACAGAGGTGGGCTGATCGCTGCCTCGGTTTAGTGCATGACAATGCAACCGGCCTGTACCTGGATGGCTTTGGACAGAGTGGACAAAATATATTCATCAGTACGGGTCGTACACTCTGGTGAGATATTATTAAATCTTGTTTACTTCTAGTTAGCGAGTTCGTGTTGCAGTCGGTATATTTGTACAGATGTACAGACTCCATGCACGCGCGCCAGACTTTATCTCATGAAAATATACGCCGGTCCATCTACCATGGATGCGCCGTTAATTAGCTTACTACCGGCTTCATTATTTACATATCAAAGATATAACTTCTCGAGAAGATACCATTCGGGATGGTTATTAATATTGCCGTTGGATGCGACGAGATTTCGACTTTTATGTTTTAATTGCGAAATTCCGACACGCAGAGATGATTTTAAAAGAACTGATCACATTTCGATCCATCGGAAAATTTTGCTTCGTGTTGTTGAAAAAGGATATTGCTAATCGTACAGTCGTTAATTCTACAATCAACAAAGCTAAAATTAGATTACGTAGACAAACAGTCCAGTGGTGGGGCTAGCGCGTAGATTTCGCCATGCAGGCCAGGGGCTTCACAAACATTGCCGGACGCGTCATGCTTTACGTTTGCACGCGGACAATTCGCCACGACCACAAATCAAGATCGCTCCCTCCGAATTATTCGTCGGAATGTTGCAGGAACTTCCCCATCAGAATGTGGTACATGGAGTACAAGGACTTCAAGTACGGGCCCAATACGACGAATGAGATCCTCGAGATCGGCCATTACACGCAGGTGGTGTGGGCAACGACACATCTGGTCGGATGCGGGGTGAGCCATTGCACCGGCGGCAAGGGTCCGCTCGGCAAGGATTTCTATATGTATGTTTGCAACTACGCTCCGAGGTAGGTATAATGTTGAACAATTGAAGAACCGTCTCAATAGCGAGTTCAGTTAAACGGATTGAGTTCCATCATCTTGCGTCTCATATAAAAGAATTTTCATACTCTTGTATGAAACGCATTTCCATCAGATATATATATTTCTAGATATGTTTTTCTTCCTTTCATTTTGAGAGAGAATGAATTACATTACTACTCGCGCAATATTGTCTGTATCTATACTTCATAAAAGTGTTTGCGATATTGGAGACTATGGAAATTATTGAAGATTATTCTCGCGCATTGTTATTTTGTTATTTAAATGTCGAAACGCGTAAGAGATTTTCATTTTTTTGCTAGATTAACGCAATACAATGCATGTGTAACAATGTTACAACATTGCAAATGCAGAGTATATCGATAGGATAGTAAGGCGGTGTAATTATTTTCGTCGGGGTTGCACGCCGTTTGCCATGACTGTTATGATACACGGCTGTTTCTGCAACAGCAATTGCAATTGGGCCACGGCTAAAACTTAGTTCATTAGCATGGAATTGACGCAATAATTTGCTAGAGGGAAATGCGGATTGGTTAACCGTAAACTTGACGAAAGTAGCGCGGTATCGTCAAAGCGGATCTTAGTTAAATCGACATTTGCACGTTGAATGGAAGAAGGTTAAAGCAGATTGTTAAAAATGCAAGAGGAGTAAATATAAGAGGAAAAGAGAGAAGGATTAGGACGAAAAGAGAAAAGAAGCTCGATTAAATTTCGCAAACAATTCACTCTTTACGTTAGCAGCGATAGTCAAATTTAGACAAGAACTTTAGTTTTGTATCATAAATAAATCTATTAGAAGTTTTTCTCTTAAGGAATTAACCTTTATTGCAGACTGATATTATAGAATATTGACTGCAAGAATAAAAGTAGAATATATTATTAAGAATCAATACGTAATAATGGAATTGATAAAGCATATTTGTGGAACGGAAGATATTTGTTATTTCGATATTGAAAAATTCTTTTCTTTAGCTTCTTTTCTATAGTCAACTATAGATATTGCACAAACAGCTGAGAAGAATGTTGCTTAAGAAAACGTGCTGTCAGACGTGCTTCTTGAATGGAAAACGATGTTAACACTCGGGATACAGTGACCTTAGTGCGGTACTATAAATTTTGGCGGTGTGATGTTCCAGCAAATTCCATAACTCGAAGCTATATTTTTTTCATATGATTGCCAAAAAGATGCAATTTTTTCTCAGGCACTCCATATATGAAGTTGATTATAGCCCAGCCTTTTTTACGAACCAAAAATAACCGATGTTGTATTCAAGCTCGCATGAGACTGGCACGTAAGCTTTCCCTAGACGCGCTGAAATATGTAAATCCTATATTTATACACTGTATGTAAGCGACATAACCCGCTCGGGGGAGAACAGGAGGAACGACGTAAGCAAGGAAAACAAGGAAAATGGTGACACTGGTGCGGAATATATGCAACGTCAGCGCAAGTTATAGCTCGTTCGTCTTTGTCATGCCCATTGTGGCACTTAGACGGCTCTCTTTGTCACCAGTATGGCACACTTTCTCGGTATACTTATGGTTTTCATTGTACTCAACTCTACTGGTTGAAAAAGAAAATATTATATAATATATATATATATATATATATTGTATATTTGTATATGTGTGTGTATATCTGCAGGATGCTCAATGCAAAACGTATGATACAAAAATCGTCTTGAAACTCTCTAGTAAAAAATGATTGCTTGGTTTCTTTGGCTTTAATATTTGACGAGAAATATATCAGTGAGAGAGAAGTACGAGTTGGTTGAAAAGAAAAATATATCACTTTGATTTAAAAGAAACCGTTTATGATACCGAACGAAATTGAATTAAAAAGTACCAATTTTGTAAAAAGCTCAATAACTTTAAATATAAAATTAATTTAAAATAAAATGCTATATACTCACTTAAAAGTATAAAAATGATTATATTGAAATAAATTTTGCGCCCTTTTACACTTCTTGTTAATAGAGGTTGAAATTGTTTGTATATAATTCTCTTTTATTTTATTTACACCTTCACTCTCTAAATAACAACGCTATTCAGGTAGATATAACTGGAATAATTTGTTTTAATTTGTAATAATTTTTACATTTCTATATATTGTTCTACAAATTGTAAGCTAAATAATAACTTTTATAAATATTTTGTATAACATGGATTCTAGAGAATTAATTATATATCAGAGAGAGAATCATGCTGCTACTTTTGCATTCCCGGATAAGCTGTCCGAGTGAGTGACAATAAATAAATGATTTTCTCAACGACATTTCACGCGCGAGCGACTCACGCAATTAGAATTCGCTCCGGTCTTCGGTCTTGCAATTTATCGCTCCTGCAATCCGTACAAAAATGCCGGCGACCCAATTCTAAACTAAGGATTCCTACAAATCGCGACGCTATATATTCCTCATATCGATCCCCCGCAATACGCAGACCCGATAAATTTTCCGCGAGATCCGCTTTAATGCGATCGGCGACGAGTTCACCGCAGCTTCATATATTCATGTTACAAGACGAGATACTAACAGGCAAACGCATATACGGTCATCGTACTAGCTTTTCTGCCGCAGAGAAAGCAATTTGGCAAATAAAACTAAATTCAGATTCGCATTTTCGAAACAAATATGAAATGTTTTACGTCGTACATTTCTAGAACTAGAGAATATACCTCATACATCGAGTATACTTCGTAATAAGTTTCAAAATTAGCTGAAAAGTGGAATGTTAATTCATTGCGAAATTCAAAATCAATTTCCATTAGAAGAGCTCTCTAGCGCTTCAGATAAAACGAAGTTACACGAAGTGGCTTTTAAGATCATTTCATATGCCGTTTTATATGTCGATTTGTACTTCTTGTTAAGCAGCGTACATTCTCCGGCGGTGTATTTGACGCCTGACCTATTTTGCACGAAAAGCGAAGCCGGCGGTTGCACGGCCGCCATCAGTGGCCCGAGTCCTGAATAAATAAACCGCGTCACGTGGTGGTGGGCCACCTTATCCTTCCTTTTATCTTGCCGTTCTTCCACACCGGCTCTATCTCGTAATTAATTTCGTGGATATACAGCAGCCCGGACCTCAGCGGCCTTTAGAGACGGAAATTCTCGCCCGATCGTTTAAGACGCGCGACTCGCACCGAAAAATACTTTGAATGTAAATTTGGTGGCCCATTTGCAAATTGCTCGACGGTCCTTCCACGGCTTTTCGTTAATGCGCGTGGCTAATGGATTTGGATTAGGATACTGCCTAAAGTATTTACACTGTTGTGCAGAGTACCTCAGAAGAAATCGGGTATTTATTTTAAGTCGCAATTATTAGGACCTATTTTAAAAAGAACAGATATTTTCACAGTAAATAAAATATAAAGTGGTCAATTAACTTTACATATTCTTCATTTAATTGAGTATAAATTATAAAATGAATGATTGTAGCAATACATAGGTTTATCTTGAGCTTATCTTGAAACATAATTATCGAGATAATACTTGTTGCTACGAATTAAGAAATTTAATCCAAGAAATTTAGCTAAAGCAAACTTTGGTTCAAACTCTGTATATAATTACTGTTTTGATCTTTACAAGGCAAACGCGCGCGTGTTAAAATCTTCTCACCCTAAGGACTTCTCCCTCTTCTCCAATTTGTCGAGTACGGGCTTAATAAGAGCGCCGGCTTTAGACACACCCTAAACGACACCTTTTGATGTGATCCTTTACTCTCCTTCCTTCGTATAACTCAAGCCTCAATATATAAACTCAACATATATGTATTTATAATAATATATACAGTCGATCTTGTATCCGAGATGTATCGAGGTATATATTTATTTCTTTGCATAAGTTAGAAACAGAGAGCAATATAAATAACATCTTGTAAAATCCAACGAACTATTTCAATGTAAAAAATTTTTCTCACATTACAAGTATTGAAGTGAATGCTGAATTAGTCGATATTAAATTTATATTCTTGTCGCGCGATGAAATTTAAATTTTTCTTTCTTTTATTTCAGAGCAGTGGAATGCTGAACGTGTTTCGCTGTAGCGATATTTAAATGTTTGAAATGTTTGGATCTATTTTTCACGTTTCTTGTCGCTTCGGGCTGTTGCACAATCGTCCCTAAAAAATCAAGATTATCTAATAGTCGGTATGTTTTTGCCTCGCAGTGGGAACTACAAGGGCCGTCTCGGTCTACCCTATGTGGCCGGACAGCCGTGCAGCATGTGCAAGGATCACTGCATGCGGGACGCGCTCTGCACGAACGCTTGCTACCACACAGATTTGTGGTCGAACTGCGCTGAACTGGTCAAAACGTTCGGCTCGTGGGTCTGCGAGACGGATACTAAGGAGGGCCGTGAACGCCGAAAATTCTGCGGCGCCACGTGCAACTGCAAGGACAAGATCTACTACCATCACCAAGGGTAGGAAGGCTCCTTGACTTCCGCGTTTGGGTCCACCGTGTTGCATGAATAATTTAATCGCCCTGCAAAACTAAACTCAAACCTGGTGGGTGTGACGACGGCTAAACGGCTGCAGATCGTTTAACGGGGGATCGTGTTGTTTTATTGATGAGCTCGTTTGTTTAGTGATGAGAGCTGGAGGAACGCTCGCAACGTTTCGAGCTAGGGCATCGAGAGAGACAGTGAGAGACAGACAGAGCGAATAGCGAGTAAACGGGGATAATATGGAAATATGGTAGATGAAGTGATTGTGGAATTTGTGTGCTATCTGAATCTCTGGGGCCTAGATTTCGCGGATTCTAGAGATTGCCCAAAGTCTAATAGATCAATAAATTCTATACCGCAACGATCTAATGACTACACATGATCATTCGATTTCAGATCCCAGAGATTCCAAAATATGATTCTTAATTGTTGTAATATAACCCTTACATTCTAGGACTCTGAATTTTACAATCGAATGTTCAGGATCCTTGGAAACTTTACGAATTATCGGTGTAAAACTCGCATCTGTATATCTTTTATGATTTGAATAAAATCGCATTTCTCGCGAAGTAACAATACACTTGCAAAAAATATCAACCGTATATAATTTTTAATTTGCTAAAGCATTATTTAATTTAATATTTAACTTGTTTGCGTGCTCGTTTCTTCCAGTAATGTAAAAACAGATCAAAAGAGAGAAGCTTAAATAGAAATGGATTAATTTTTCGCAGGTAAATTTCGTGTGCCGTCTTTAAAATCGAGATTAATCGAAATGTTTTACATCTCACGTGTCTAAAGATAAACATGATTTTGTAATTAATATGCACGCACATCATGCACGTCCGCAGGAGAACAAAGTTCCACTGGGTTTGAAAAGTTTTTTACCTACGCTTAGCTTTTTATCAATAACTCTTTAATCTGCTTGCTCTTTGCAAAGATAGAGTTTTTAGTTACATTGTATGCAAGATAATTCAGAGCGGCTATCTTTTTATATCTTTTGAATATCTACAAACAAATAATATCTGAAAATCTTTATCGCTCTTGTATTTTATAGCATACAGAGCACAGCTTGGTCATCTGTACGTCAAAAGAAGAATAAAGGCTAACTCTACATTTTATATTTTCGTAATTATTTTCACATTTTTTTTTTATTCTTATAAACCTGCACAAAATAAAACTTAAGACATAACGGATTTCATTAGTTTAACGTGACTGCCGGCAAATTATATTTTTGGCTGTAAATATTTACTCCATTATTAAAGAATTTGCCTCAAATATTAATTATTATTGGAAATGGGTAATCGAAAAACTCATTTAAATGGATAAAATGATAAGCTAATTGGAACATATTTCTTTTTGTAAATCTAATCGTGGAATCTTACCCATATATCTATATCATATTTTTTGCTTAAAACAATAAAAATTTTAAATATCATGAAAATTGTAAATAAATCCGGTGGGTAACATATCGAAACTGACAATTATTAGACGATAGACGTACTTTTAATTTTAGCTAACTGTTAAGAGGAACAATGTAAAAATTAATCTAAGCTTTGAGAAAACGGTGTGTCGATGTTTCTTGTCGTGATGTAACGATGGAACTTCCTTTTAGCGATTAACAATAACGATAACAATTATTTTTATCTTAGATTTAGCAACAACGTGTTCACGCACAGTGCAATATCGGATGAAAGCAAATCGGAATTGTAAAGTTAACTCTTTACCGCATAATTTCTGTTACAATTAAGAATATATTTTAGATGAGCAATGCGGTGCGTTTAGAGACATAATTCTTTTTTCTTGGAAAAAATTTGTAAAGACACATATCGCGCGACGTCAAAAGCGCATTATCTATATGTTATCTTCATAACAATATGATACGTTTATTATGCAAAACGAGAATTTTCGGCCGAATTATGAGTAAATAAAGAATTCTAGCAACAAAATGCAAATTTTTATCGAATAAAAAAGATGCAGTTTCCTAAAAATGAAATATTGCAAATATTATATTTATATTATATTATATTATATAAATATTTTATATAAATAAATATATCTATTTGATTTTTGTAAAAAGTGAAATGTTTAATATAGCGCATCGTAAGGTTTGATGAAAAATCATTGTTGTTATTTTTATAGAAATTGAAAAATTAATATTGTGAAATACGTACCGCAATGATGCGGTAAAGAGTTAAAATAAATCATAAATCACAAGACACATAATCAATAATACGCGTCGAGAAACAATGCGTGTGACAAGAGTGGCGAGCGTGATTGATGATAAATGTTAAGTACTTGTCGGTAATTAAGGAGTTCGTTAAAGAGATATAATAGTGAATGTAACGGTACAGCTCCAAATAAAATGTTTAAACTGTAATACTTTTTGTCCACTTACAGAATAAATATCCTGTAAATATTACATTTCCCTGAATTTCATTATTTACTTAACCGCATATTCGAATAGCCATAATCTCTCGATATTTGTTTCATAAGCGTTTGAATAATTCATAGTTGTGATATTGAAATAATAGAATTTATCAATATATAATAAACGAACAACGTGCGCGTAATATCAAAGGAGTTTAAGCGCCTCTTAATGCCTAATAAATTAACGTATATTGTTGAATTTTGACAAAGCGTAATCGTATTCTCGATCAAGAGAATGAACGCATGGTTGGTCGGTTACGGTGCGTTTAATCGCGCCGTAATATTTATTTGTTAGAGAATCGAAGGATTAAGCGGAATTATGTGGCGAATAAATCGATGAGAGCTTTAAGGGTGGGAGAAAAGGGAATCATCCCCTAGGTCAAGAGGAATGTGCAGTTGGTGAATTCGAGTTAGCGGTGAACCGAGTGCATAGTCTTTTTGCTTCAAAGGGCTTAGGAATGCTTTTCAAACTGTGTTCGGGAAACGACAAAATGGCGCTAGTGCGAACTTCGTCAGACTTCCAAATAAAGTGCCCTGCGTTGAGATTTTACGTAAAATCGTAAATGTCTTATTAAATTAAATCTAAAATGTAGACTTGTACCTAAATTTAACAAAAAAGAATCCTAAGTGCCAAGATTAACAAAAAAAGATCACAGTCACTGCAGTGATTCTAATTTGGATAATCTATCAGCGAAGGAATTAAAAAAACCAAATAAACATTTTTTTTACAAAAATATATAACATATCAAATCATTCTCATAATATCAAATAATGCAGTATTTAAAAAATTTTTTAAATTTTCCTTTGTCAATGGGCGAAATCGACTGCCTAGAACGATACAGCCATCAATTTCCGGCGTGGTATCAAAGAATGCGAGCAAAAATCGATTTGGCCGTGGCTGGCCCCGCCAAGTGGAATAATACCCGTTCGTCGCGGAATTGGGCCGATTCGTCCGCGGGCTGACGACTTCAGCAAAGCCGAAAGGCCCGTCGACACGGATTCCTTTGAACGTACCCGTCGAAAAGTAGGTAGGACCGAATAGCAGCGCTATTCCGTCGCCGATAATGCCGCCACGCGCTTTCGTCAAAGATCGGTGATCGCATTGTCGTGAACGAGCAATTTCCTTCCGTCCGTCTTTCGAAGGTTTTTACAGGAGAAGGGCGATTGAAAAATCGGCCAGTCGAAGCGAAAGATTCGTTCGCTAAATTTAATCCTTTTTGTAGTTCTTTGAATTCTACAGTGTAAAGGTATAACCCGGGGAAACAAAGAGTGCCGCGGATATAATTTAGGAAGGTCTGAGAAAACGTGAGAGAAGCTAGCGGGTTTTATTTTACAAATTGCTTCAAGTCCGCTAAATAATTTATCCGCCAAGTATTTTGCATGCATAGTTATTATTTTGCTACATTATATACATATACGTATAAAAGTATCGAGCATCAAATGTTTCTCTAATAAGCACTACATCAGGGAAAGCTAAAGTAAAAGATAAAAAAGAAGTTACTTCGATGTCGAGACATTGATAAAAGTTACTTAACGTCAAAAACTATATTATAGTAAATAACTTAAATGATTCATAACGTAATAGATAAATCTTGTTTTTCGATTAATTTTAAGTAAAGTTGTGCTTTAGCAGTAACTTTTCATTTCAGTAAGGTTTCATTAATAATAATATTTTTAAAACATTTAAAGCTTTATTGCGTAAAATTTTGTTCAATTTCTAGTCAAGCTCTAGAAGCACTATTGTGTAAAAATTCAAAATTTTTTCCAGAACAAATTGCGGATAATAGAGAAAAAGATTTTAGGTGTGTAAATATTGTGAAACTTGCAATAAAAGAACACTGCAATTAATTATATCACGAATCTTGGCAATGTATTAAACAATGCAATAGGCTTATGATATACGTGATTCAGTGTGTGTAATTTGCAATGACTTCGCTAAAGCAGGTGTTACTACAAGGTTGATTTATGAACACATAAATTATATCCGGGGCGCTATCATTAGTTGATTGATAGCCAGTAATTATACTGTAAAGTAGCTATGAGTTCAGCCCTAATTACTTAGAAATCTAACGAAATTCTCACGCTGACAATGTGTTAAATATTTTTGAAATTCCATATTAAAACATTTATTCGCATGAGCAAAGTTAAATTGTATTGCTATTATTTAAATTATTGAAGAATTTTCCATAATTTATTACTAATAATATGTCAATTTTAATACAGTATAATGTATCCGTGATACATCGTTAGAATTATTTCAGCATTATATCAACTGTCATATATAATAATTCAAATCTTAAAACTATTAGGAATAAAAAACATTTCATTTCATGTAAAATTAATTTTTCTTCCTGTTAATAAAATTAATATTTTAATCAAGGATAAAAACTATAATAGTTTTTTATTACTTATTACAGCAGAATTAATAACAAGTTGCATTTTGTAGGATTTCATTAATAGCAAGAGAACATGCCATGCTTCATTAACAAGTGAAGATAATACTTTTCACGGTACAATGTTTCTATAGTTCCGTATCGCATAATATAATTCAATTACTCAATATCCAAATATTATACAAACCATGTTTTCTTTACAATATGCGTTCTCGATGTTTACATATGCAAATGTTTACATAGTCGTAAACAATTGATCGGAGTGGAGAGCACGTAATTATTTAAAATTTCACGCAATTGCGCTTGGCGTATCCCGATTTGTTATGTTAATTGAATTCCTTAAGAGAAACTGGGACATTAAATTTTATCGAATACCCGGGCATCTCGAGCATCAGATCGATAGCCCGCACAAGCAATTTTGTTCTTATTTCTGACTGCTGTAGAAGTGCATTTATCAGAAGCTCGTTTATCGGAAGAATAAAGTGAAATTTCGAAAGAGATCCTCAGTTTGGTACATTTATGATATTAGAATGTATATCATGTTATACAAGTCTCTTATACACATGCAGCCACAAAAGAAGTATTTGCACGTTTTGTCCCATGTTGTTTGAAACAATTTTATATGCTAAAGAATATTATTGCAAATATTTTTTGTAATACGCCGTTTTTATTCGTATTATACAATAAAAATTAAATTTAAAAAAATACATATTTGCCACACACACATGTTTCTTTTTTGTACAAATTATCTCGAAGCAAATGGGGTGCAAGCATTCTTTTAATCTATTGTACGATTTCTCGCTTTCAAGGGTTCATTACCAGATTTTAACTTTGTAGATCTTTGGACTCACATTGTCTTAAATTTATAAATCACTAACAAAGACTCGCTTACAAAATCTTGCTTCTATATCTATATATACCAATAGAGAATATCTTTGCGTAAAAGTATAGATTTTTTTGCGTATAGTATGTGCGAGTAAAGTTTTGTATAATTTATCGAGTGTTGCATGCAATAATCATGCGTTTCAAAAAATAACAATATTGGAAAAAGATAGCCTAACTAGATGCACCTGTAGCAGCAGCATAAGTATTAAGAATCGAAATTGTTACTATCCACGCTCAGGCAGTGACGTTTTTCGTCGAGAGGGACGGAGGAGAGGGCATTCGATATTTTCAACATTTCGCCGACGTAATATCTTGCACGCCGACAAGCGGAACCGGAAACTAACCGGTAGGACGAAGCTGACGCAAGCTTCCAAGTCAGTGAGCCTGGACCATACTGAGCCGCTCTACTCACC